GCCTCAAATCGAGCCATTCGACCATCTGACATCACACTATTGGACGCCCCTCCCACAATTGTACTATTAAGCATAAAACATATCATTTCGAATGAAAAAACGAAGAGAAAATCCCAAAAAAAGTCAAGGGTACAAGCCTGTGTAACACTCAGAAAAAAAGGTACAAAATCTGTCACTGGGCTGTAACCTTTCAAAAGGTAAACTTTTGTCCATTTTAAGTGCTAATATGTACATTTTAGGTGTTAATATGTACATTTTAGGTGCTAATATGTACATTTATTTTTAAGTGCTAATATGTACATTTTAAGTGTTATTATGTACATTTCAGGAGCTAATATGTCCATTTTAGGTCCTAATATGTACATTTGAAGTGCTAATATGTACATTTAAGGTGTTAATAGGTACATTTTAAGTCCTAATATGTACATTTAAGGTTCTAATATGTACCACTAAGGTACCAATATGCAGCCTTTGGGTACAAAAGTGTACCTTTTGAAAAGGTACAGCCCCAGTGACAGCTTTTGTACCTTTTTTTCTGAGTGTACCCATTCCAATCAAAGGAACTACTCATCCCATAAACCACTGCGCCTCACTGAAGCCACCGTGAAAAAGCCTTTTGAGTGACTTCCCAATCTGACGACGGCCACATTAACTTTTTCCTCCTGTGAATTTTATATAGTGAATATGCAGGGAAACTCATTTTCCTTGATTTACTGAAGCTTATATGTAAAATGCATTTGCAGCTGACATCTGTATGTGTTATTGCTAAAATGGCCCAGGTCACACTACAGTCTTAAATGCTTCTCTGTGTCTTTCAGTTCCAAATTTGTCAGTGAAGCAACATCATGGATCCCTTGGGAGCTCGTTCCCAGTTTGTGGAGGTCCAGAGCCTCTACACATGGGACCAGCCTCAGGGAGTCCAAGATGAGGTGGATGGAGAAAATCACTCAAGGGAGGAGGAAGACACGCTGACAAATCATGTCAACTCCTTAACTTCCCCTTTCCCCTTCAGACAAGACATCAACAGCAAGATTGTACTATTGTGAGTGTTGTTTACGTTGCTATTGATATTCCTCATCTTGTGTTTTTCACAGATCCTCCACAAACCTCTGTATTTATTTAAGCACAAACTATTGCTTAATAGTTTGTTTGTTTTTTTGCTGTAACTTCAGCCTTAGCCCTGAAAGCCAAAGCATCAAACGCTTTTCTTTTGTTATCGGAGTTTAATCATTTAGAGCTAATCCTTTCCTTTTTTTTCTCCACCCACTCTGCTCTTTGCATTAGTTATTTGCGCCAGATCTTTACTGCTTTAGTCATTCCCTCATGCGCACAAATCCCCCTTATAGCTCAGTCACATGCAACCATCTGAGAAGTCCTTGCTGTGCTTTCTGATAGATGTAGCTGTGTT